GATCAACTTCTTTGGCTATCGTAAAATTCGTGAGGATATACGTGATTGCGAGCCAGATTGTGTTCATGGCAAGATGTCGTCCGGGACAAATTCTTCTGCCGAATCAAAATGCGCCGGCCAGCTCGGGATTGGGTGGCAGGTCTTTCCCTTGTTTCATGAAGCGATCGGGGTTGAAGCTCATTACGTCGGGTCCATACAGAGCTTCGTCGTGCAAGACAGCCCTGTTGTTGCATTGGTCCTAAGTCGTATAACTCGATAATGAAGTCTGTAATGAAGCTTACCAGGCGTTTGGGACAAGGGTTGAACCTAATCATAGGAGTGCGACGTTTAGAAAGTGGACACCAAGGTGGAGCAGACACATTACCTCCCGGTATGAAATGTCCTTCATATATGTCGTCGTTCACAGTAGCATGAGCCACAGCTGATAATCATAATCCAATGTCAATGATCGATCACGAAGGAGCGGGTCAGAAAGTCACCTAGTGGTGTAACAGGTTTCCATCGTAGGGTCTCTGATAAAATAGCGTTGATATAAGGTAAACTTTCTCGGTCAGCGAAATCAGGGAGCCTAAAAGAACCGACGACTTCATCAAGTTCCTTCTGGGCGCGGGCCTGGATTTCGGGGTTCAGAACCATCCCTAGAATGAAAGACAGAATGGCTGAGACGGTCTATGAGAAGAATGTTTGTTAATTGAAGATACGATTGAACGTGTGGCGGCCTACCGTGTCTGCACCGGCTGAAAGAAGATATCTGAATTAGAGTCCATTTTTGGTCAGAGAATACAAGCACGATATTTACCTAAATAAGCCACACCAGCACAGTTCTTGATCACTTCTTCCATTCCTGATTCGTCACTTGAATCGAGTGGGATTTTGAATTTTTCCATATTTTTCGTAGAGAAAGAGGGCTCGGCAGTTTCGTTAACCTTATCAATTGTGAGCGTTCTGCGAAAAAGGGCTTCAAACAAATAAAACCATGGATTGCTTTAGGTGTGCCCATGGAAGGTCTCTTAGCTGGAGACCATCACGAGCCCACATTTCAGCTTTGGCCTTGAAACTTGCACCCGGGAACCAAGCTTGAGATCGAAACTCCGATGAGAAACAGAGTGACAAAGTGGCGATTAGAATTGGGAAACAACTCACCAGGTATATGCTTCAGCGCAGGAACGTAGTCAACGAAAAATGTTCCAACGATACCCGTTTCCCTGAGACCTGCAGCTCCGTCATCGGCAACTTTCACATATGGATCGTTGTTGTCTTGAATGTGATAGCCATAAACGATCTCGAGAATGATTCCTCCAGCATGACTGGTTTCGGAATTTGAGAGCTTTGTGACGCCCAGATGATGATTATGACTTACGCCCTGACATGCTTGAAAAAATCTTCCGGCGATTTTAGTAGCTTCTGCACTAACGTTGTTGTTCTCTTCCTCTGAATGTCGTAGTATTCTGTCATCATTCTGGGCTGGAAAAACTGATGGAATGTTCTCCGGTGCAACCTTTGTACGTAGACGATCAGTAACGCTCGAAAGAAATGAGTAAAAATTCGGAAAGCACCTCCACGAATCAGAATACCGCATGACTGTAGAGTGAAGAGAGTGAGTGTTCAACCTCGACAAGAAAGGAGAGAATATGCACAGCCAAGATTCCAAGACTGGTATCTGTAGAGGTAATGTCAATACAGCACCCCTAGACATCGAGATGAAAAAAAAAAAACCAACTTTGCTAGTTCCATAAGCATTGGCTGGCCTGTGCACACGAACAAAAATGTTTGTAAGGTTATGAATTATGCATTATACTGAGTAGTACATACGCGGTCTGTCAGAATTATTGTGAGACCTATGCTCTAGAAGCTCGGTGATCGCTTTGTATGAATTGAGGACAATCGTCCGGGAACCGAGGACATCCAACGTGAAGACATCACCGTAGATTCGTGACCAGTTGGAATATAAAACACAACGAGGCTCCTTGCGCTTCGCGCGTACTTCGAGAATGTTGCCCAAGATGGGGAGGCGCTTCGGTCCGGGAGGTAAGGGTAGACCACGGCGATTAGAGCGTTCAAGGAAGAGGCGGAGCACAACGAACGAGATGGAAAATGTTGCAAATAACTTGAGGAGTTCCATTGTGCAGAAATATCGTTTCTAACCGCTGGTGAGTAGTAGGTTCGTAGAAAAGCTGCAGATCAGCCTGAGGAGCCTTGACATAAGTATGCTGCCCCCTTCTCCTCTTACCACGGAACTCTGCATAACATGGAACCATGGAAGTACGAACAAATCGGACGATACAGGTAGAATCCTCGCTTTGACTTGACACAGGCTTTGCTGTGTACGCTTTCGGAAGAACAAGGTGGGACACTTTCGGAAGAAGAATTCGCCTTGTTTGGGATGAAATGGGCGGTAATGGGCGGGTAACGGTTGGATGCTGCTGACCAAGCGCTTCCCGCGCGAGTGCACTGCCACTGGCTCAGAAAATGTGTTTTCCTCTTCCAAGTTTTTGTTTAGTTTTTGTGAATTCCCTCCAACCATATGAAACCTACGAAAACCCATCAAATTTCTCCAGTAAAGGGCGATACCATGGCGACTCGAGGTCGACATTATCGAGTACATTCTGAGCCAGTACGCTGGCGCGGGAAGGTGCTTTGTTACAGTCTAGCTTTCACCCTAAACAGGCTCTAAGTAAATTTAGGTCATGTGGTTAGAGGTTCTCTTCCGGCGCAGACGCGAGGAGATCTACCGACCTGAACGTCCCTGGACATGCAGTGTGCAGTTGGGCCTCTTCGAAATTATGCCTTTTTGCTACAAACCCATAACTGCGTGTGGAATTTAGGTTAAATGTACGTGTATAGCGCATTATACAATAAGAGCGTTCATTCAATACCACCCTCTGAATCAAGGGTATCACGACAATTTACAACGGGAATGCGAAAGAGGTAAAAGAACGTATGTCAACACAAGCTAAGGATCATGATCTCACTGAAGGCGTGAGTCTCGTTCCAGTGCTACACGAATAAACAGACCGACTATCGGAAGTCGCTGAAGCTTCGGAACTGGTAGGGTAAATTCCGGGGGGTAAGGGAATAGCAACGTTCTCCATATCACTATGAGAACCAAGATTTTCCGAATCCGACTGACGTTGGAGATTTTGTGGATTTAAAAACTGAAGAGAAGGTGTTGTAAAACTCGTTCGTGCAGGTGAAGGCGGAGGTGATTCCGAAAAAACGGATGTTGGTCGTGCTACACCCAAATCATTCTGTCGATCTCGTGTTGAGTCGTCCAAAGGTGAACTTGCTATCTGATCACTACTCCTCCCTGTTCCCGTTCCATCGTAATTTGGTGGAGGGGCCGAGCGTGAATCATACGGCGGGGGTACTGCTCCCGGTGCCGACGGCGTAGACTCTGAAGGTGTTGACGCCTCCATCTCCCCCCTAGGTAAAACCGTAACCGGGAAATACCTCGGTAGATAGCTCATCTCTGGAGCTTGGGAGCTCCCGCTGTGCGATGAATCGGCCACAGTCAATCCATGATCCGCGTCATCGAACCTCTGTGCTCGTACTGGGCTTCCACTGTTTAGCATCGGTGAACGTTTCGCTGATTTGCGTCTCCGATAGTAAATTGAGATGAAAGTGGCGAGCGCGATGAGGGTGAGGACACCTAGGGAGCCACCGATAGCACCCGCGAAGGTGGCTACCCTGTGGTTGTTACGGGAGGGGGCGGAGGATGTGATGGGTTGGCTGGATTTGGAAGCAAGCGACGAGATAGTAGAAATGAGCAAATAAAAATTTGTAAAGAGAACCGAGTATTGAACACTGACGCTGTGGTATCATCTAGTGTTGTGGTATAGACCATGTAGTCAAATAGGAAGATTGACCCCGGTGCGACAGTTGCTAGTAAGACGTGAGGAACCTCTGGTAAATTTCTGAGTGCGAGGACGGGAGTAGAATTGCCAGATCCGACCGACGACGACGAAGGAGTGTACAAGAACGATCCAGAAGGTTGATTATCCAAGGTAAAGGTCAGGTTGACTGTCGTTACCAAAGGAGATTGAGAACCAGAAGGTAAAGGCCTAGATTTGGGAAGGATGGAAAAGAGGTATACGGCGGTACCTAAGTCGACATCTGATCAATGGGATGCCAACTTGGATGCCAACTTCCGAGAACGGAAATTGAAGTCTCGTGCTCACCCGTGAACTGAAATTGCGCAGCAACCACTTCCCCTGCTCTGGCTGCTATCTGTCCATGCCCTCCTCCTCCACCTCCACCTCCACCTCGACCGCCTCCACCTCGACCTTTTCCACTTCCATGGCCTCCGCTTTCCTCAGCATCATCAGCAGTCGCAGTCTGGGATGCTGAACTGCCCGATATTGTCATTGGAAGACCCGTGCCAAGCGTAACATTGTGAGTTCCCAAATGAAAAGTCCGATTGAAAGCCAACGTCGAATCCACCTGAAAGCAGTTACTACACCTCTGAACCGCGTTAATGTCAAGCCATAATTCCTTAGGCTGGTAAGATATCGAAGTTGATGAAGATGAATCGTCTATGGAGATGTTTCGGGTTTCTGTGCTGGACATTCGATACAGAGGAGGGAAAGGGCGAATTAAGCCTGTCTTGGGAATACTACGTATTTTCGTCTCTGGTCGTCTGGCATCGTGTGAGTCCAATGGCGATTGGGTGTGTCGGATCGGTGATATTCAGCCAAAAGCCATCTGGTTTTTCAGGTTCATAGGATAGCGAAAAAGCGTCCGACCGAAGTTCAATTCCCCATTTGGACGCCGGGCGGCCAAATCGCATATTTTCCGAACACTGTTTTATTCCTTGTCCAAATCCTTGTTCTCAACGATGAATTTCTCGATGGACAATCGTCAGACGGCTTAAAAGCGTTTATAATGCCCGTAAGGGGAAGCCGACGACGGTACCAAATAAGGAGACTTCAAGGATATAAAAGGGTGCTAGGCCGCGGAAATTCCGACACTTTTTGATGATTTGCGCCGTTCAGCTACTAACTGGATCGATGGTGTAGTTGGTTATCACGTCCGTCTCACATTAGCGAATACTACGTGACCACGGGAGGACCCCAGATCGAGCCTGGGTCGGTTCAGCTCTTTTTTTCCCCTTTCTTGGTTGAATGCTCATTCAGAGATCCGGAGGGTGTACTAGTTTTTGTTATTCCCACGATGAGTTCTCCTCACGGACGATCGATCTTCCAGGATCGACGTGCAAGCTGTTCTCGCGGGCGCCGGCGTTCTTTGAATTATTTAAAGGACTGTCCATGTATTCCGCATATCATATCCTCTACTTACCAATGTAGTAGGTCTAAATTGTCGACTCGAACATCTGTCAAACTTCAACTTCCTCGCAGACTCCAGTCAAAGCCATTTTCTAGTGTAGATAGAAGCGACACTTGATATTCTACTGTAGAGTAAATATATACAGCGCTACAGTACTAATTCATTCAGTATTTGCACTAGGGAAAAGAGAGTGACATTTAATGATACAGAGAAAGCATTAAGATCACAGAGCAACAGTGGGCGAGTAGCAAAGGAAGGAGGAGTTGAGACAAGTAAGGACAGCAAGAGACCCAAAGAGAGGAGGGTAGGGCAACCGTTAGGGTGTGTGAATGTAACATACGAAAATAATGAAGGAGAAGGAAAAAAGGCCAGCTCCATGAACCAGCACGCAGAAAGGGTATAAAACGGGAAAATCTAAAAAGAAATCAATGAACTGAAGCGAGTGGTGTGCCCAACCAAACCCTCTATTTATGATGCAAAGCCAAAAAATGAAACCAGAAGAACCCCAGAAAAAAACACTTGCGTCCGACCAAAAGTTTTTTTCCTCCAGCGATTGAAGAACAGACAGATCATATCCAAAGCTTGGAGCTAACAACCTCCCCATCTTCACCCACGATTCCCACTACGGCACCTCTCGGTAACTTGGGTACAGGGGGTACAGGTGATGATCCTCCATTTGCCCTGCCTGAAGCGAGTCCCGCTAACCGATTGTTCTGGCTCTGACTTCGATTCATCCCTTCATACGGAGGATTGGGGGACGATCTTCCCGAAGCCGAAAGATAAGTCGAACTCGGTAACGCAGGCACAGGTGGAATTTTCTCTCTTCCAGTCGAGTCATATATTCCTTCAACCCGTTGCACAAATCGATCCCTCATATTCCGGCTCTTCTTTTCGTCCACAAACGAACCTGCTTCACTGTACATAGTCGAGCGGGGATTATAGTCGTCGTCGTCTTCGTACATCGTATATCGGCCATTCACAGAGTAGTGACTGTCTTCAGAAGCTGGACTCGAAGGAGGTTGGAATCTTCTCATGACAGCGTTGGCACCAAACCGGTAATCCTCTTCGGATTTGCTTTTTGATCGTCCGGTCATATGAGATTGCGTTGAGGAATGGCCGCTTTCCGATATAGAATAATTTTCTTCGCTTCTCCGAGTCATCGAATTCCCTATAGAGGCATTGTTCATCGACTCCATGAACCGCTTCTCCAATGCTTCATACGACCGTTTTCGACCAAGCGCAGGACTTGCCGCAAACTCTCTCTCCTCTCCGGGGGAAAATCCGACTCTTCCACGATAATACCTCGCAGCATCTTCATCGTCAACATACTCATGCGAATCCACGGATCCTCCGCCACCAAAAGCATAAGTACCTTCCTCCCCACCATACCCTTCATCATAATCATCATCTTCCGGATCAGAAGGTTGTTCAACTTGAATCCCAACCTGAGTACTCTGTCTCGGTCGATGCTTCTTCCTCCCATTCGACTCTTTCCATTCTCTACTCTGACTTGGAACACGTAGACCTGTGGGTAGAGGACTCACTCCCCCACCAGCCCTCCTTTCCGCCTTCCGCTCTCTCTCTCGCTCCCTTTCCTCCCTTTGCCGCATCCTAGTAGCAACCCATTCGTCTTCATCATCCCTCCTAACTGGTACTCTCCCCCTACCACCAATGGTGGAAATCGTATCGTCTTCATCGTCCCCTCCTCCTGTTCCGATCCCGGTCTGTCCGTGAAACCCATACAGTTCAGCATATCTCCTAACCTTAACCCTCCCGCCAAACCCATCCAAATCGCTCTTGTGCGGTGAAACAGGTATAGCAGCCCCGGTAGGCGGACTCGTAACAGGCTTAGCTGGGAACGGACTTTCTCTTCCTCTCATTGGTGACGCAGAGTTGGGTGAAGAGGGGCGAAGACCAGGTGATGGTGCACGTAACCGACTCTGACTCGTAGAAGGAGAAATTGTAGTACCGGAGAGTGGTGTAGAAAGCCCATGGCGCGTATGGGTCGTATATTGCGGTTTCATGCCCGTCTTTTGTTGCTGTTGTGTTGCAAAATCACTCACTTGCGACTGTGAGGGCGGGACATTTGGAAGCGGGGATGTGGGAGGAGGAGTTGCCGGTGGGATGGCAAAGACTGGAGGGGGTGGAGCAAAAGTATCTTCTGATACCCGGGTACGAGAGCGAAGATTTTCTTCGGATGTCTGAGTGTAGGCAGCGTGGAAGTTGTCTTCGGAAGCGCGAGCTCGAAGTCGTTGTGAAGGGCGAGAGAATACTGGGTCAGAAGGGCTGGGAACGACGTAGTTTGCGGAGGGTATAGGGGAAGGTGAACTCGAATAGACAGGGCCAGCGGTCGGAGATGGGCTGCGCAAGAAGTTGGTTGTACTCTTGGGGATGAGAAGGTTGGAAGGAGTGGGTCGGGCTTTTTGGGTACCTAAAACATAGAAGGGTTAAAGATTATCTTCCAACTCAGAACGAGCTCACCAGTATTCGAATCACTTGAGCTGCCTTCGCCAGGAGTAAGCTCGACATAGCCACCTCCTATGGGTGAAGGCATTGGCGAATTCAAGACAATATTATTTCCAAAACCTTCAACCTGACTCAATTTTCCAGCAACACGTTCGGAACTTGGAGTTCGATGAAGAAACAACGGCCTCGGAGGATTTCCTTTCCAATCTGTCGGAGTAGTCCTTCCACTGGCAGAAGCTGAAGGAGTCGGCGTAAACGAAGAAGGAGGAGTGCTTTTGGCAGATGTCGCGGACTGTGGTTGACTATGATTATTGGGAGGCGAATGAGGCGGAGATGAAGTTCTTGTTATCGGATAACTAATCTGTGTCTTGTGATGCTCCTTCTCAGCTTCTTTAGCAGTACCCTTATCACCACTCGCTGTTCTCCTGGATCCAAACCTCGAAAACAGACCCGAACCCGAAGATGTAGCCGTAGAAGGCGGAGAATGTGAGGTTATAGAAGTAGCGGTGGAACTAGCAGTAGTGTGAGATATAGAGGAGTGGGCAGTAGAGGAGCTGCTAGACGTGTATTGCTCGCTACTGGTTCCTGAAGCCCCACTGTCTCTCGTGGAAGCAGCGGAAAAGGTATTCGGTTGATAAGATGAAGGGGCGGAGTTGACGGGTGGAATGGGAGTTCGGAAATGAACGACAGGTTCAATGCGCTGCTTAGTCGGCGACTCCTGTTGCTGGGCAGCAAATGCCCTTGACATGGCTGTACTAAAGTCAACGGAATCGGTTTTGCTGATCTCAAGGCTTCGATTACTCGTTGGTGTAACTGTCGGCGTCTGTTTCTTCTCCTCTTCCTTCTTCGCCCCGGGAAGTCCAGGATAGTCACCCAAAGGCGGTTCAACAGTTGCACCTTTATTCAAATCACCCAATGTTGTCGCAAACCGGGCGGCGATAGGCAAGCGGAATTGCGGCTGTGGCAGAGGTGGGACGGGTACAGGAGGGGGAGCTTCGTGCTCATCATCTGAAGGAACGTGCGACTTGGAGCGGTTTCCTAACTTGAAGAACCTCGAACGCGACTTGGATTTGTTGAGACTTTTCTCTCTGTTAAAAAAAGGGGGGGGGAAAAGATGAAATGAGCGATCGAAGGAATCATAAAGCGTGTGGGGCGATAAGGCTAAACACGCACGATCCAGGCGTAGAACTCATGTATCCATCGTCCGTTTCATATCCAGCATCTCCTCCTTTTCTAGAACGGGATTTCGACCGTTTTCTTAGCTTTCCACGAGACTTTGAACGAGTGCTTGACGGGGTCTCTGCTCCGGATTCTCGTGCCTCCGTTCTCCCTCTGGGATTGTTAACAGAGTTTGGTCCGACGGTCACCGAAGATCCTTCACTGAGTATACTAGAGGCTCCGTCATTCGAGGAGGCCTCCCTCGATAACCAAGGGGCTTTCGGCGCTGAAAATCCTGAAGGAACCGGTGATGCTGCTTCAGAGCCCCCGTTCATCAGGGAAACAGGACTTAGCACGGGTGAGGACGTGTTGGTAGTGTTCCAAGGTGGAGAATAAGAGTCGGGTAGCGGAAAAGGTGTGAGGTCCGTATGCGAGATTGCAGCCTTCTTGTCCTTCTTGCTCCTTTTCTTTTTCTCTGATAGTAGTGCGTCCATTTCTACGTCTATGATGACGGGAATGAGCGTGAGTGCTGAGTGTATGAGCCAAGTTGGGCTGCAATATGGCTATAACAGACGAGAAACGACAGGACTGGTGAATTGGAGAAGATTTTGATGAAGACAGATGGTGGACAAAAGGAAAGGAGAACTCACGGTTCTAATTACGACGGTGTGTGAAAAGCTAGAGTAAGATTTAATGAACGAAGATGAAATACAAGGCACTCTCGACAACTCACGTTGAGGTTCACGTAGTTTACAGGAGTGAGTAAGGGGGAGAAAAGGATGAAAATTTGTCGAGTTTAGGACGTCGTCTCGCGATTCTCCAGCCTAGAAGCACTCTTCAAGTCAATCCCGAACAGAAAAAAAGACGAACGAAAAAGAAGCGTAATCCCCAAATCTGGGAGGAGGAACGAATAAGAAAATAACGTCACTACCCTATTAACCTCCCGCATGGCAACATTAATCTCGGCCCGTTCCATGAATGTTCCCTATCCGTCTCCCACTTTTTCTCAAGGCTTCAGCTGTCGACGACCGATGGTTATACGCCGTGTAATCTCACCTACTATCGTCAACTTCATGGCCGGTTATGGAACTTTACAATCTCCGAGGTCATTCAAGCACGGTGACATTCTACTGACATCCAAGCGATACACTGCTTTTGAAACCCCCCCCCTGATTGATTCTGCTCA